TATTAATATTATTATTACTTTTGTGTATTCATGTGTGTGTGTGTGTTATTTCTTTTCTTTTTATTTTAGTTATGCACAATTAATTTCTCACCTCTTTTAAAACATCGTACTGATAACCCACTTTTGTAACCAATAAAACGATTTCTTTGGTCCACTTATATTGGTCGGTGAAGGTAGTACCAATGAATAAAACGAAACAAATGTGACGAAATAGAAGAGACAGTCTGTGTATGTGTGTGTGTGTTGTCACTCGTATCTATCTATCTATTGCATGATTTTAAAACACCTTGCATATACTATATTTTATATTATTTATTATTAATTTATAAACGCGTTAAATACTATCTCATAAAGTGAAATTTATAGGATTGCATTTATTTTCTTTTGTGCATCGTTGAAATCCGAAAGTATCATTTTCTCTCTCTAATTCTCGCTTTCGTATCAATGATTTCACATTAAAAACAAAATGAATATAATGTTTTCTAGAGATCGTGAATTTTGTTAAATTGAAATAAAAATATATTAGGAGGGAAAATGAGATAGGTAATGGAAAATAGAAAGAAATCTTATTGCAACACTGCAATCAATGCATTTTAATAAACTTCGGTCATTTTATCCATCCGCTATAATGACGATATAATAATAATATTAATAATAATAATAATAATAATAATAATCAATTATATTATATTATAATTATAATCATACTTATAATAATAATCATAATAAACGGCATTTCACTTACACGCTTTAATACAGTTTCCACTATGACAACGATGGTAACATTTATGTTAATCATATAGGAACCAATATAATACTAATAATAATAATAATAATAAGAATAAGAATATATACAATTAAATAAATTAATTCGGACGTAGTGAGAAGAAGTTCGATCCATTCGCGTTTAAACTATATTATTATTATTTATTTATTTATTTATTTTTGTTGTTGGTTGCTTTGTTTTTTTTTTCTCTTGGTTTCATTTAAGACAAAGTTTTATCGAAGATGATTCAAATCTATTCTCCATATGGAAATACTCTTAGAATATAGTTATATTTATTTATTTACTCACTTATTTATTTATTTATTTATATATATATATTTATTTAGTATTTAATTTTACTTCTCTGTATTTTATTTCTTCCTCCCCTCGCGTCTCTCATGTTGTCATGTTTATTTATCTCGTTTTCGAAAATCTAAGAAAAATCTATTTTATGTGCACTATTTTTTTAACTAGGAAATGAATATATTATATATTTATAGGGACGACTTTTCTATAAACTTTATTCGCTACGTGAGCGTTCCAACGGGCGCGTGTATGTGTGGATGTGTGTGTGTGTCTATGTAACCTGTGTGTCAATAATTATTTTTAAATCATTTTCTAATATTTGAAATTTTTCGTATTACTTTTTTCTTTCCCCCTTTTTTTTTCATCTGTCTCGTATTAAGCTTTTCAATTTTATTCTTCTTCTCTTCTCGTTTTTGTTATATATATTTTTTTTTTGCGCTATAAGTATTTTTTATTTATTATATATTTTAATTTTTTCTTTTTTTTTTTGTTT